ACGTATGCAACATCGAGGTTTCGTTTAAAACGAAGAGCTAAGCAACAGTGTGCACTCTAGTGTCCTTTTCAGAGAAGGCGAACGAGTGATTGAGTACATTGGAAGATCGAGCTTGAAGGGAATTATGGGTCTCTGGAAGGTTGACATTACACTTCCAGCAGTAAAATTATCAAAGGTAATGCATCTGGACTACTACATGTTCCTAATTCGTGAAGAAAACCTCTGAGACCGGCGCCCCAGTCAGTGTCCTCTTTATCTTGTGGGCCAATGGCCTATGGCGTTCAGCGATTTGCATATATTTCTTTATTGACCTTTCTCCTTGAATGCCGATAACAAATATCTTGCACTTTAGTGTACGCCGCTGGGTGGTAAGTCTTCAATTCAAGGTATGACTGAAAAAATAAAACCTACCATAGACTCTTGGGTGGAGTTTTAAGAGGTTTGAGGATGGATAGGTGTTATCTTCTTTGGAAAGCTTCACCTCTATCTCCTGTGAAATTCTATGAGACCGACTTGCATGTTCTTCTCCACCCCCTTTGTTGTTTTCTTCCCTGCCCACCTCAACAGAACTTCTGTGGTTGGTCAACTGTTGACTTTGGCCTTGAAACTAAAGGTCAAAGTCTTTGCTTAATTGGGTTCATGTACGCGCGTGTGACACTCTTGCGAACACTTGGCTTACTTTTTGTCTAGGGCCAGGCATTGTTTCTGACCACGGGCATCTACCGTTGAGGTTTGTACCTGGTTGATTATTTATTTAAAAGCGCCGCACTAGACTCAATTGTGATTTGCATTTCAATTTGATATACGCGTTATTCAGGGATACTGAATCGCCGAAAACCAATGATGAACAAGCATTTCTTTAGATCATAAAGAGATAGAGGGATGCATTTAAAAGGAGAAAAACAGTTCTTACTGTCTATTAGACTGTTGTAACTGTCCATTAACAATTCTTCGGCTTTGGAGAATTGGCGCAATTTAATGAGAAGAACGATAAGGTCGGACTGGAGAGATAACTGGCCTCCATGGACCGCCGACTCGTAATACGCGATCGCCCTCTCATACTCATGCGTCATAACAAGGGCTTCGCCCATTTTACTAGCCAATGTCAGGTCATCTGGGTTTTTGCGTAGTACAGCTTCGTAGACCTCAATAGCCTTCTGTGGATCCTGGATCTTCATGTAGGCATCACCAAGGAGAAGTTGCGACAGAGAGTTGCCCATGGTCTCCACCATTTCCCTGAGAGAACAGAAAGAACTGATATCAGGTTGAAATCCGCAACAGTTCAGTTACAATTGGTGACTAGCAAAGTGACGTGTAAATTGTTGGGGTGCTTAATATCAAACACATTGCTGATAGATGTTAAAAACAGTTCGTTATCGATGTTCTTCGTACAAACTCTGTATACTCTGGACAATTTTAAATTCATACTAGTTCAAAATAAGTAAAAAGCTACATATTCCTACCACTCTTTCCTATGTCGGATGCTATAAATTTTCGGTAACAGTTCAATTTAGAGTCCGCTACAACTTATTTAAATAAGTAAATATTTGCGCGCGATAATTAAAATGAGTTGATATAGAGGCGATATAGGGTTGACATAGAGTCGATTATTGTGGCTTAGAAGCTATGTCCAAATAAGCTTTATATAAAGTCTATAGAGATGCTATATATAGTTCATTTAGAGTATTCATCCATTGAGTTTATATAGAGTCGAAGATTGTGTCTAATTGGGCACTATTGGGCTTTCTAATGTTGTACTGGTTGCATTTCTCATTTTAATTATCGCGCGCTAATATTTGCTTGTTTAAATATTGATTCCTATTATTTTCTACTTTTATACGCTCTCCTTTTTTATCATTTTTCTTTCCTTTGATCTGCCCCACTTTCTTAACCCCTAATACCACCTGTCTCATATTACAGAAGGATGAGGTTTTGCGTTTGAATGGCTCTATCTTGACCAGCTGCTTCTTACCACTCTCTCCTATTCCCGCGACTCAGTTATATAGAAAGACGAACATTATTGACCGGATATTTAACCTCCTATATAAATGTACTGGCACGATGGGAATTTAACGAAAGCAAGTGTATGCTCGCCATCTAGTCTTCTGACGTTATTCAGCTTTCCGTCAAAAAGAAATCTGAAAAATTTCTTAATTCATAAAGAATGAATGGCAACCTTTCAGTGCCGAAGTTATAAGAGGCTTCCTTTGGGATCTTCTTAAGCCTGGCGCTTTGCAGAATCATTTTGGCATGACTACGTGTGTTATATCCGCCTGTTCGACCAGGCTTCATCGTTCTGTAAGTATGCAGGCGCAATGAGAGGCCAGTTTTAAGGGGAAAACTATTATCATTTTAATTTTTTTAATTATCACAAGGTCCAGAAGTGACTAGTATTATAAGATTAACAGTAAGCCTACTTAGAAGCACTGATGAACGTCGCGAAGATTTTGGCGAGCCGTTATCATAAGTATGCTCCACAAAACTATTAATTTTATGAGTCAATAATGGATAATTCGTTAACTTATATTGTTTATGTTGACATGAGGGAATTGTCCGATTTGTTTGAACTCATTACGTAAGTCTGCAAATAGATTCCCTTGAAAATGCGAACCCCCAATCGACTGACAAGGCGTTACACAATTTGAATAAAATTAGCATAACAAGGAGTAAAAGTGAAAAATGCTTATTCATGAAACCACGTCATACTGTTACTTGTTTCAGTCCGGGATCTTTTGTTACTTCTTTGGGCAAATGCTTTAACCGATGTCGTACGTTCGACAAAACAGCGAAATCGGCCTTGCTCCGCCCAATACTATTAATTCTTAATTAAGTTACAATTAATGGGTCTGTCCTAGTTGCGTAACTTGAACGCCCAGTGTTCCCACACACACAACCAGACTACGGTAAACACTTGCCACCTTCCTTATTGCTCAGGTCAACTTTTTCACCGTCAGGGGACAGATCGTGCGGGTAAATATTCCCGCCTAGGGCAAAGCCCACCAAGCACGGTCACAGCTATTTGAATTCGCTCGAGTTGAGAGGGTGTTCACCTGACGCCGATCTGTCAGTGGTGAAGGTCCATATACGCGCGTACACATGTGCGTATCTACAGCAGGAAAAGTCCAAACGTCGATCAGGTCACGGTCGGTTATACGCTAACGTTCGCCGTTCATAGACACACCTATATACATAAACGTTCACAGAGTCATGCCCATCAAGCTTTAGAGACCGACCGCCGTTGACCTTAAATGATCTTCCGCCTTGGGAAGCGCAATCGCACAGACTGCACTTACGAACCTCCAGAATAAGCTGTGTGCTGCAGTTAATTAGTCAGCTTACGCAGACGTTGAGGACAAGAGGGATAATTAAGAAATAGTAGTCTGTCGGCCACACTTGATAAAACACGTCCTGCGACAGAGATCGAACTGATTTTTGTGGGAACCAAGTCAAACATAATCTTCTTAGTCAGTACAAAGTGCTTGGAAATTTACGAAATACATAATGGGAGAAGACAAGCTATTTCCGCTTCAGGGCACTAAAAATTGCAATAAACATTGCATATGTAAAGTGGCCATGTTCCTAAGTTCCTCAAGCACTGTTCTCCGAAGACATTCAGGGTGTTTTCAGAAGGATAGGAACTGTGATGGGCTGTTTCAGTTAACTTCTCAGTTGACCGATGATGCAGTCATTACTGAGCCTGATCCTGTTAGACCGTACGGCTACTAGGCTAATGTAATACGTAAGCGGCGGGGGACCGTTACTGGTATTGATGGTACTGTTATCCTTTTTAATAATCCCCACTCCAGCATCTAGGTTTCGGGCACACGAAAGGTTACGCGCAAAAAAGTCGTTTGGTCTTCTTTTCTGCACCAAGGTAGAGATGCCATGGTGTGACTGAACTAAGCTTTTCTATAACACATGTTCAGAGCTTTCGTACAAAAACAGATTCTCTGTCTGATATTTTCTGCATTGAGTAAACACCTGTTGTTTGTTTATTCTTTGTTTCATTATACTTATTTAAAGTTGTAGGTTTATACGTTTCTAAGCTTTGTGTCGGATAGCCAACAATGCGGTCCTCCTCCCTTGTTCAATGCCCACTGCCCAATCATCATGCACCTTCGCATGCAGCTGTTCACGACTCGCTGATCTGTAATCCCTCGGCCCACATCTACGCGCACAAACGCGCTCACATACGGGCGCCTAGATAGTCGCGATTCCCTCAAGGCCACTTGAACACGCCACCCATCGGCCGATGCAGCAGGGGCCTCTATACGCGACACCCCCTCGGGCAATGCAACGCACCAATCGCACACCACTTGAACTCACTTCACAATCGCGTGAAAGCAGCTGCCGTCTCTCTCCCTCTTTCCCACACAGATGCAGTCAGCACTAGCCCTGGCTTCTTCAGTGGCCGCTGCCGTCTGAGACAACAACTGAAAGTTCTGTACGAAATAAATCCCTCTCACAGGTGCCTTCTGCCTTTTGTTTTCAACCTGGGGACTTGGCCTGAATACTGTAGTGCTCTAAGTACAACCACTACTTAGAGGCTACACTATCAACATTCTTTTTTCATTATAATGTGACCAAAAAGTCGATTTATCCTTTTAATAGTTTTTTGCTACAGTTTACCGATAGCAGGCAATGTAGAGACGTTTCTCCTTGCGCTGGTTTAGGTAGATGTCGGCCATGCGCTGTTTCGCGATCAGGTAGTAGGGGGTGTCTGAAGGAATGGGTCGCAGGACGGTGAGCGCGG